TCCATTGAAGATACCTAGATTGCTCTGTTCAAGTCAAGCTGAAACAGGTAAAAACATGAACTTCTATCTCTCAATCTAGGAAGAGTTAGGCTTAGGTTTGTGAATGAGACATGCTCTACTCATAGCCCTGAAGTCATACATATGATTACTTTTCATTTATTTTATGTGTGTTGTGAGAATTTTGGCCATGAACATTGAAGAAAAATTAGGTCAGAAATTGGGGATGAAGAAATTCTCCCTCGTTTCTTAGAGTTAGGTCAAGTGTTTTATATGTCTGAATTCGTCTCTTGATGCTCTATAATGTTTGTGTTATGAGTTTTTGTTAAAAGTCAAAGAATCAGGAGTTTGGATGAAGCATGGAACGCGCGCGTTTTTCTGTTTGAACGTTGCTGAAGGTTGAAGACAAAGCTGGCTTGGGCTGGGCCTGAGTCAGCTTGCTGCTTGCACCCCCTTTTTCCAATTTACACCCCTTTGGCCCATTGTGTGATATATTGATCATTTTTGATTTTTTCCTTTTTGATTCTGACTTATTATTTTTTACTCAAATATAAAAAATATAAAAATATTTTTCCACCCTTTTTTGCATTTATTTGGCATTTATTTGTTTTATTTAATATATGTATGTAAATAAATATAAAAACCTTTTATTTAAAACACTAGAAAATAATACAAAAATATTTTTTTTAGTTATTATTTATTATTTGCATTTTGAAAACATTTTCTAAAATATACTTTTTTTGTAAATAATTAATATTTTATTCTTGTATATATTTAGTATATTTAATATAATATATAAATACTTGTATATTTTATTAGATATTTAGGACAAAAATATAAAAATAATACATTTTTATTTTTATTAATACATGACACTAAAAAATACTTTTTTTACAATATACTTCTTTTTTTTATTTTGTATAAATAAATATATAAATATTGTATATAATTAATAAATAAACACTATTTGTTTAAAAACTAGGGTTTTGCCCTAAACCATAAAAATATTCAAAATTTGACCTTTTCATTTTTGTTTATATTTCACATTGAAAAATACTTTCTCATACATAAAAAATCTTTTTTGTGCATAATACATTTTTGCATATTTATTATATTTGTTTAAATATTGTACAATTAAATATTTGTATATTCGATATGGATGTAATATCTTAGATTTAATTTCTTGTCAAATATCCCCCCATTCAAACATTTGTACCCCCATCCCCATAATTATGTTGTAATAATTTAGGACTTTAAATTTCCGCATTTAAAAGCTTTCAAATTATGCCATGATAGACCTAGGGTTTGTATGCAAATCAAATAACAAATAGCTTGACTAATACAAAAGACAAAAAGCATGAAAATGGACGACACAATGCACACTTGCACCCTTAGGGTTACTCCACTTGTTGCCTTCAAAAATGGGCCATGTTGCATGTTGAGTGTCTTTGGCAAAACAAAAACAAATCAAATGATCATAGTCCCTCGATGACGCTTTCTCAAGTTGCCTAAAAAATGATCAAGTCCCTTGAAGGAAAAATTGCCAAAGACACTTGGCACTATTGCATTCATGGTCTAAACGATGACCCGCGCCCGTCCCGTTAACATCCTAACACAAGATTGTCCACCAAATACAATGGTGGAACAATACTGTTAAAAGGGTTAAAACATAGGAAAGATCTTTGAGTAAATTTAGGGGTAGACAACTCTTAGTTACTTGATCAAACTTGCAAAACAAATCCTTGCCATTTTTCAAAACACACTCCACAACACAACTTTCAAAAACAAACTTTCAAAAACATTGAACATCTTTTCAAAAAGACAAACACCTTTGTAAAACATTCGAGTAAAGAATTGTTACAATGGTTGCCTAGACAAAGGCATCTTTTTCAAAATCTTTTCAAAAACCACACACACAAAGCACCATTTCAAACAATTGAAAATGCAAGGCAAGTGATCTAAGCAAGTAACTAAGAGCCCATGGATAACCATGGATAGAAAGGGTGCTAATACCTTCCCTTTCTATAATCTACTCTCCGAACCCAAGAAAACATCTCAAAGGTTTTTCCTGTGCTTTTTAACCTTTCCTTAGGATAAAATGAAAAGTTGATGGCGACTCTTGCTAAACCGAAACATTTGCGAAAACAAACGCAAAACCTCAAGTCAGTTCTCCCACCGTATCACAGTGGGGAATAAGACACCAAACCTTGATCATAATATGACGTAGTTGGGCAGCAGATAAACCCAGAAGAAGCTTACATTCTCTATTCCAAAACACAAAGTTACAACTGTTACCCCCATATCTATCTTGTACCTACAATGCCATAATTAACGAATATAAAAAATACAATGACATAAATACACAAAAATAGCTTTCGCGGCCACTACATATACTAAAGGATTCTTAATAAGACCTATAGATCTCAACCTCAGTTGAATGACCAACATCACAGTCAAACGGAGAAGTGTCACCATGTGCAACACAAGGACACAAATGGCAGGCACGGTAACACCACCCAAACGGAGATGCAACCAGAATCCTTGTTTTAGCAACAATGGAATAAAATGTAATTTGTATCAATAGGCCACGACATTAATCACAAACTATAAAAAAGAAAAAAGAAGTGACCAATTGTATAGGAAAAAAACAACAGCAACAAACAAGTTGTATCATACATCACGGAGTTTGATTATTTCACCAAGAGGCAAAACAACAGCACTTGAGAGTAACCTCTGAGAAGGGCTGAGCTGTGTTTTTTCAAAATTCAGGGATGATAGATATGAACCCGAACCCATCTGCCCGGAGACAGCAACGATAGACTCCTTAGGCATGCTGCATGAATAAGTGAATTAAAAAATTTTCATACAATAACAACGGAATTCCAACCCATCAACGAATACCAATGAAGTCGTACAGAGAATATACCCATCAATGAAATCTTTGATCGAAGGAAAAGCAGAGTTGAGGCAGATCAACATGACATTGTAGGTGTTTGTGACTGACAGTGGAAACTTCCCTACACAAACAAAGTCACGAGGCAAGTGTCAGTGGTAAAAAATAATAAGTCCTATAATAACAGAATTAACCACGTCGTTACCCTCTTGTTTAACTTTTGCATATTGCAGCAACAACACAGTTGGGTCAGATGTATTATCACGATCCTGTGTGAATTTGATAAAATGTTTGGCATATGATTCTCAAAGAGTACAATTCAGAGTGTTGTTTCTAAACAATGAATACACAGAAGCCGCTCAGCAAAGGAACCTTAAGATGCATTCACATGATATATGATATAATAACAAAGCCGAAAGTGTTGGATTACATACCTCTGGTCCCTTAACATCATATTAACCTGCATTTTTTTGAACCTGACTGCGTCTGGGAATATCCAATGCTCTCAACCATTCCAATTACGTCTTGCCAAAAAACAAACAAGCACCCGCATAAGAAAAAGAAACACAAGCATGCTATAGAAAAAAATAGTATATCGAGTTCAATTAAACAAACATAACATAAAATAAAATTTTAGATATTTTTTTACCTATAAGGACATCCCTGTTATAATTACTGCTGATTATATCGGAAAAACCAGTAAATACCAGCAATTTCGCAGGGATGTCGTGTTTGTTATCATCCCCAACAAACGTTCCTCCGGTAAACTTGAGCATAAACCTGTGAGCCGAAGGTATAAAAGACAAAACATTCGGCTGGACCTTAAAGTTTGACATAATATAAGTATGGCCCAACAATAGTTTTTCATCAAAAAACCGACTTATGTGCCGCATGGACAACAACATGTATATCATCGCCCTGCAATGCACACAAAAATAATATAATTTCAGAAAACAAACAATTCAATACGCGTGGTACAAAAAATCTGCCACAACAACAGAAAATGCAAACAGAATTGTGCGAAAAATAGAACATATGCATAACCACCATGAAACTGCCCGAAGTAGAGGATTAATATTTTACCGTTTTATCGACAAAAATCATTTCAAAATGCTCCTTGTTGTTAATCAGAATATTCCACTGATGATGAACCCTGATTGCAACCTTCCACAACTCTTTACCGTCATTGATGTCGCATATAACTTCAATTGATCGTGCCATGATAAATTGATAGGAGACAGAAAACTGATAGGAGGGAGAATAGGAAAAAACGCTAGGGTTTGAGGGAGGAGAAGTTGTAACAGAAACTGAGAGACTGAAAAATTATACTGAATGACAATCATGATAGTTTTGTAACGGTTGAACAACAGTTACATAATTCATAATGAATATGGAAAGTTAGAGAGGGAGTGAAACGATACGTACAGCAAATAGAGAGATTAGATAAGAAAATGGAATATAGAATAGAGTGCAAAGAGTGTATCCACGTAATATGCTATTGGAACAAAATGACAAAATTGAAACTTTGAATAGATTGAATTTTCTTATATGATAGATGTAAACATGGATGGATAAAAACTTAACAAAAAAAAAAACTCACACATTTTTTTTCTTCCTATTTTATATTATGTGGTTGCCTATGAAATACATAGAAACTTAGGGACTAAAAACGAAATATAAAAGATAAGCCCGACCTCGATCTCCAACCAACCGCATAATCAATCCACAATTATCTCAGAAATCATCGCACAAACTCTCTCACAAAACAAAACCAACAATCAAAGCCCTCTTCAACGACGTCGTTTCTTCCATCTTCCTTTTCGTCTCTCTACATCCTGTAACAATCTCATCTTCTTGAATCTTTGTTTTATTTTGGTATCCAGTTGAAAATTGATGATCTTTGAATAATTGAATCTTGGTTATGAATGCATAGATGTTACTTTTCTAGTTTTTTTTTTTAATTGTAAGTTGATAGAATTTTTTAATTTATCTATTTAATTCATGTGTATTACTCTGATTAATGATGATTGATATTTTTGTGTGGTTTGTTGTTAAGTTAACTGAATGCAAAGATGTTGTTTTTGTAGCCAGTTGTTTGTTGAGGAACAATATGAAACCGGTTTGTCCTTTTGTTAAAATTCCTCGGCCCGATGATAGTAATAAAAAACCGAGTGAAAACTCAACTAAACATCATGTAGAACATGAAAGTAAGGTGAAGAATGACACGGCTAGTGTCTCGCCCAAGTGTCCTATGGGATATGACTCTCAAACATTTAAGCTTGGTCCTCTTAGCTGTATGGTATGTCAAGCGCTGTTGTTCGACACCAGCAAATGTGTGCCTTGTTCGCATATTTTCTGCAAGTATGTATCACGGCCCGTGTTTATTTCTTATCATTGCATACATTGTTTTTGGATGGTTTCTGATTTGACGTGTGTATGATGTTAGAGCATGTATATCGCGTTTTGAGGACTGTCCGTTATGTGGAGCTGATATTGTGAAGATTGAGCCCGATGACAATCTTCAAGGTGTAGTCGATCGCTTTATTGAAGGTCATGCTAGGATCAAAAGGTCTGTTAATTTAGACAAAGGTGAAGAAGCAGCAGAAAATATTAAGCCTGTCATATACGAAGACGTGTCTTTGGAAAGAGGTTCTTTCTTAGTGCAACAGGCCATGAGGGTAAGTATGTCCTTTTCAAATGTAAATGTGGATGAAGTCTTGTATATGAAGGATTAAATTGAGAAAGAATGAATGATCCTTGATTTTTTTGTCATAATTAATAACTATTATCATCCACAATGTAAACGGTCACAAGTCTTAATTAAGTGACTATGCTATAAGAGCTTATCATTTAAGTGCTTGTTTAAAAACGATTTCTATAACAAAAATTAAAATGAAGTCAAAATGTTTTTATGTAAGCTATAAAATGTTTATCTGGGTATGGCATTGTTGATGGGAACGTTAGCTCTGCCAAAGCTCATGCTTTTTGTTTTACTTTGTTTATGTTATACTTTTTCTGGCCACTTGATAATGAGCATTTTACCATATGAAATTCAAAAACAGGCATTCCGTGCTCAGAATTTAGAAAGTGCCAAATCAAGACTCAGCCTATGTGCAAAAGACGTTCGTAGTCAGATTGAAAAAGTTGGTAACACTTCAGAGTTATGTTCACAACTTGGAGCAGTCTTGGGTATGCTTGGTGACTGCTGGTATGTAATAGGATATTTTCATTGTGTTTTATGATAAGATATTGTGTTTAGTGAAATATGGAAAACATTTCTACTAAGAGGAATTTATCTGTCAAGACGACAAAATAGTCTAAAATACAAAGGTGTGGTCAAAATACTAGTATAAATAGTAACCAGTGTTGTAACATAGCGGCTACAATGCTATAGCATAGCAAAACTTGAACAAATTGCTATTATCCCGTGATAACCTATTTACGTAACGGAATTCAGCAGACCACTATTTTCTGCGATCCATGGTTGACAACACTGATAGTAACACTGAATACAACTAGACTGAGACCAAGAATGATAAAATCAAATAGGGATGCTTAGAATCAGTGGAAATCATTAAATTAGTGTGCTGAATCCGAATCATCTTTGGTAGTGAGGACATTTTGAGTTTTGGTTATTTATGTCTGTACCAGAAATTGTTTCCATTGTATCCTCTATCTATAATGTAGTATACAGTGTTCAATTTCCTTGACTGCTTTAGCCGTTTTTGGTGTACGGTAATAACCACTTTGGTTGGAAGAAGCTCCTAGTTTTTGCTAGTTTTCCCTGTTGTCTCCCACTTTAAAACAGGTCCTAAACCCATTATCAATTGCATATAGTTGCATCCTCTGAAGCAGAAGCACTGACAGACATTTGTAATAATTTGAGAAAATGGAAATGATTGTATGTTATCACACATATTAGTATCGTGTCGGTGTACACACCTTTAATATGAAGTTTCAATGCCGCGTGTTTGTGCTCTTAAATCTGTTTTGTAGTGCGCCTTTTGGTCCTTTGTGGTGCAGTTTATCGTTATTTTAGAGCGGTTTTGATGGTGAACATTTTAAGAGATTATTTATCTCTTTTGCTTTCTTTATTATTCTCCGCTTTTTCCTTTTGTCATTCATATGGCACATTTCTTTTTGTATCACAAAGTATAAAAGAATATAGTTTAATTACATGTTTAATGGAGGAGGTGGATTGTGATCTTCATTTTTACAAAATAATTTCTGCAGCCGAGCAATGGGTGATAGCAATTCTGCAGTAACTTATTTTGAAGAAAGTGTTGAATTTCTGTCAAAGTTGCCAAAAGATGATTTGGAGGTTATTTCATTAGAATCTTGCTTTTCTTGGCTCCCGTGAATAATAATAAATTACCAGAACAATCTGCTCTTGTTTATTGTCAATTTATTTCTTTGACCTTGTTATCTTACAGATTACTCATACACTTTCCGTTTCACTTAATAAAATTGGTGATCTTAAATATCACGGGGGAGACCTTCAAGCTGCAAGATCATACTATTTTCAATCCTTAAATGTTCGCCGTGATGTTGTCAAGAACAATTCAAATGTTTCATCTCAGGTTGGTAAATACGTTCCACCTATATTAGAGTGATAAAGACGGACAGACTAGCACGTTAGTGCCTGCTTGCACACTAGTGAAAAATAAAATGGAAACAGAACCTTTACACTCATCAATTGCACCCCATAGTTTCTTCATTACATGAGTTCTTGATACTTGTAGATAATTTTCAGTTTGATATTTTTTTTCCTGTTTTGAAACAACTCAACCATGTAAAAAGTTAGTATAAATCATCTTGTCCATTAACTAGTTAGGTTAAGTTAATCCTTAATCACCCATACAAATTGCCACATTAGAACTTGTCTTGTGGCCAGCAGGCATGCATGACTGATTTTCAAATTATCCTTTTATATTGTTTATGTCAATTTAGGTCTTAGATGTTGCTGTTTCTCTCGCCAAAGTAGCGGATGTTGACAAAAGTCTAGGAGATGAAAAGTCAGCTAGTGACGGATTTCAAGAAGCTATAAATTTGCTGGAATCACTTACTTTAAAATCTGAAGCTAGTGGACTTGAGCAACGGGTAAGTTGTTACTATATGTATCCCAATAGAGAAGTACTATATTATTGTATTCTTCCTCTGTTTCCTCATCCATAACACACATACATGTGTGTGTATATTATTGTATTCTTACTTTAAATAATTTTGCAGAGCTATTTTATTAAATAATTCATTGTTTAAATAATGGCAAGATTTACTCATGGAGTAACTTAATTTGATGAGGACCTAATATGAGCTAATTAGGAGAAAAACAAATAAATTTTCAAGTCAAGACTTTAGATTAGTTTTTTAGTTTGGTTTGTGTTTAATTTGAATTGTAATAATTGTATTTTTATTTTGAGTGGTGTAAGCCTAATGCGGGCCTAGAGAGTCGGCCTTATGGCTCATTTTAGGAATAGGGTGAGTCTTTCTTTAAATGTCATCTTAAGACTCTAATTTGCTAAGTTTGGAATGAATTGAATTTTCTCTCCTGAGAAATGTGAGTGTGAATATCTCCTCTTTTGTTCTTGGATTAGAATCCTAATTGAATCATATTAATGGCTTCCTTACCATTGTGACGATTCTTCTTGACTTATCAATCATCTTGATTATGGCGCCTTCTACCGTTTTCTTCCGCAAATTCATTTTCCCCTTTTATTTGCTACTCTTTGATTCAAGAGCACTTTGTGCGAGCTTTTGTTATATGTGGAAGCATATTCATCAACATCATAATTGCTCTTTACACACACTCTCACACACACCCACACACACAAATATGACAGTTTAATCGAAGTCCTAATTGGAGTAAACTATGCCTATAAGATTTCATAGAAATTAAAACTTGACAGTAGCATATAGCGTGTGATTCAAATGCAAACATGATCATCAAGTTGATATAACTTGATTCAATGTAGATTGCCAAATTTGCATTACCCTAAGTTATTATGTTAAGTGTCTAATATTTAAGCCTAGTGTGGAGTATTATCATTATTTAGTATCTACTGCTTTTAATGACTTCTTACAACTGCGTATAATTTAGATTAGAAGTGATATTAATGTACTTTAGTTTAAGTACACCTTTCTAGTGATATTAACAGCCGTTTTTATTCTATAATAATATTCAACTCTTTACACAGTAACCTCTTGTTAAATATACAAATTTCATTTAGTGCTGCATTTCGACATATGATCTTGAAATTAACTTATGTTCCTGTTCTTATAGCGGCTATCAGTTCTAGACTTCCTTAGAAGCCAACTGACAGATGATGATAAACAAGAACAAGTTGAACAAACAATTTGAAGTCAAGTAGATGCTTAACGAGCAAAAAGGAAGCATCAATTCAGATGCAATAAATGTTTCTTTACGTGATTGGATACGAATGTAAAATAAGCTCGGGTCTACAGAGGCGTTATAATAGAGGAAAAGAATTTTCATTTCGTTTCGAGGGATGCGTATCTGTCATTTTGGGCTCTGCAGTACTTGTCTTTGAGATTCTACAACAGTTCCCTCTGCGTTTCTTATACTACACCACTGAAGTTTCTTTCTGATAACCAGAGAGGATCGCAACTTCTGTAGTACCTTATTTGTGCATAAATGCAACTGTGATGGGTCTTCCTTGCATTTATGTAGCTGATATATACTTAACTAATAAACTAGAAATGAAGAAACATGTAGGTTGTGTTTCGAACTCGAATACGTTTTATAATGTGAAGAATGAAACTTATAGAATATTATAAATGTTTGTGTTTGGGTGAGTTTTGATAAACATAATTTTGAGTAGAGTTCATTTTGTAAAATCAATTTGGTTACTATTAAGTTTAAAGTGAAGTGATTTTTATTTAGATTTTTTTTTATAAATATTTTGAAAGCAAGTTTAATGTAAAAACTGATGCAACTTTTTAATCCAATGTAAGAGTTACTTTTATGAGTTCTAGTCAAACTGAGGTTTGAAGACAATTGATTTTGCCTGAAGCTTAAATCCATGTATTGTCACTAAAGTAAGTGTGTATGATCTTTAGCTGATGTATGTATGTTTCTAGGTATGCTTAGTTGTAGTTATTCAGGTGTTTACTAAGGGTATGGAATTGTTTCTTGTTAAATACACCTCATAATACTACTTGAAAACAAAATAATGTCAACATTCTCATATTAAATAAACAAATAAATATTCTTTAGTACTTTGGAATTTGGTTAGAGCATTTTTATTGAAGTGAATAAAAAGGAACTGAAAGTGCATAAACTAAATTATTTTTTATGGGGTCAAATTGTCACCTAGTATAATTTAAGGAATTTATAGTTGATCTAATTTTTGTATACTTTAATTATGAATGTTTATAAATAATTCAACCTTAAATTCACATATTTATATTTTTTTATTTGTTATCAGTTTTATTTTAAATTTAATTATTTTAATTAAGAACATAAAAATATTAGTTATGCTCAATAGTTATTTTAATAAATGTTATACAAAATAAAAAATGAATAAACACTTACGATTAATTGAGTTTACTAAGGACATGCCTTTTGGAAGACGGGTGGAGTTGGAACCAACAAGACGGATGGAGTTGGAACCAACAATTATGAGTTTGCATATAACAGCGCTCACCATTTTAGTATTAGGATGTCACCACACAAGGCTTTATACGGTAGGAAGTGTATGGCACCTCTGTGTTTGGCGGAAGTGGTTCAATAAACTATTGAGAAGATAAAGTCGACCAAAATCACCAGAAAAGTTATGCAGATAATCGTAGGAAACTGCTAGAATTTGAAGAAGAGAATCACATGATTTTGAAAGTTACTCTTAAGTTGGGCCTGCATGGATTATTTAAGACGAAGAAGTTAAACCCTGAAAACATATGACATTTCCAAAATATAAACTGAGTAGGAGTGGTGGCGTATCATTTGGCGTTGTCATCGTCTGTATCAGAGCTACATGGTATATTCTCTATATCTCAACTTAGAAAGTTTGTGTCTAATCTCTTCCAACGCATATTGATGGAGTCGATAGAGCTCGAATCAGATCTCGCTTTTAAGCCTCAACCAAGTGGTGGGTCGTTTAAATGTGATAACCTAACTTGTTCCTACTATACCAAGTGGTCAACACTATTCAACAGGCTGGTTGCCCCTTTCACACCTAGATTGTCTTGAAACTATTCAATGTTCAAGAGAATCTCGTGTTCAAGCATCAATAATTGTGAAAGAGGTTGCTCCAAATATAGGTTGAAGAATAATAAGCATTGGAATGTTTTTTGGTCAGTTCTTGGAGGAACAATGTCTTCTTCAATAGGAGCATAATGGGAGGTTACGAGGACTGGAGGAGACAACAAAGCTTAGTTAGCCTCAGTAGTTGCAGCACTGATGTGGCGCTGAGCGGCAAATTTTGTAATGTTCGATGTTAACAAGATTTCAAGAGTTCGTTATCAGATTTGTTTGAGGAAAGAGATTGTTGCTTGTAGAGAGAGGTAGATCATTGACATGTGAGAAGGATATATATGATATGAGAGAAGAACATTGGTGATATGTGAGAATAAGATCAATGATTTGCATGTTTTGGTGAAGATATTAAGGTTTTGTGGAAAAATGGTGGAAATCAAGAGTCAATTTGTATTTAACTCATGTGTATTCACCACATCTACCACCTAACCCATATCCATCATCCCTAAACTTAAAACCTCCATTTTACTATTCTTTCTCAAACCCTCAATTTCAGCATTCACTCCACACCAACTTCAACATCTAATCTTTGCTCCAAATCCACAAACACTGTTTCCACCACCTAAACCCCCGGATTTGGAAACCATCATCAATAATCACAACAACACTTCTCCTCATTCACCTCATTCAGTACATATCAATAGTTTTCAAAGAAGAAAACAAATCCAATTACCCTTTCCCCTCAAGGAAGTCTAGGTTTTAAAAAAAGATCTCACACAATATCTCAAAAAGCAATTAGATCCAAATACACAGCGGTTTATCCTAACACCCACCGTCTCTCCCGAATTCACCATCAATCAAAAATGAAGAAAAAAAAAAATCAAATATCAAACACTTGCTTCTCATTTCAATATAGAAGCTAAAATGTTTCCCCAATTCAGAGCAATGATGGAATATCTGAGCAAAGCATCGACAACGGTATTACAGATCGGCATCGATGTTCACCTATATGACGATCCCGAAGACGTCAACATTTCCCTCTCCTTGACAACATGTTCGACAAAGAAATCACTCTCAAACGCAAAGAGTTCATTAATCAAGGTCTTCTCAAACCTAATCCCGCCAAAGAGGATATTGCTGAAGTCGTTCACGAAGAGCTTCAACAATATCAAGTCAACAATGCTGAAGAAATCGAGTGCCTCAAGGGACTTACAGTGAATTCTGATGAAACTCCGGGAGATTTTACCAAAAATGGTAATTTAGGTTCTAACTTTGATTCTTTGTTTGATTTAGCTTTTGATAGTTTAGTGAAGAGTAAGAAAGTTAGAATAGTTGAACCTATGTTTCAAATATGCCCTGAAAGGGATACATTGACTTGGACTTACATGATTATAGATCTAGCTCAACATGGTATGGGAAACGAGGCCATATAGTTGTTTGAAGAGATGCTAAAATCTAACTTAAAGCCATATCATATTACTTATGTTGGTGTATTGTCTGCTTGTACGCATGTGGGATTGGTATAGCAGGGTAAGTGTTACTTTAATTTGATGAAAAATGTCCATCACATTGAACCTACCCTTAGCCACTACGCATGTATGATTGACATGTTTGGACATGCTGGATTGATGGAAGATGCATATAATTTTATAAAAAGTATGCCGATTGAACCAGATGTTATAGTGTGGAGTTCACTGTTGTCTTCTTGCAGGGTTCACAAAAATGTGGATTTGGCTAAAGTTGCAGATGCAAAATTGCTTCTTATTGATCCCAACAATAGCGGTGCTTACTTGGCGCTTGCTAATACTTTTTCAGCTTGTGGTAAATGGGAGGTTTCTAATAAGATTAGAAAGTTAAAGAAAGTTCAGGAGTTGTCTGAATCAGGGAGTGTTGTAACTGGTTTTAAAATGAGAGTCGTCACCCTTAATTTTTATCTTGAGGAAGAGAATATAAAGGATAATTCTAAAAAGTTAGAGATTATAGGTTTTTGGACTCGTTCTTAGATGAAGGGAAGGTGTTAGGAATCTTTCGTCTACCTTGTTCACAAGGATACTAGGGTTTAGAAGCATAATCTTTTAGGAAAAAAGGTTTTAACTTTTCTTAGGGGAACTCGCCACAATTTCAGTCGTATGCCTACGTATCCTCTTATGAGGAATCAGAGTCTCAATTCGTAGTTCGCAGTTGGTTTGTATTTTTTATGGATTAAGAATTATATTTGAATTTCCCGCATACTCAATCTAGGTGTACGAATAACGAAGATATTAGACGGAATGCGCAGTCAATTCAAATATACTTATAGCCCTTTTTAAAGATTAATTGTTAGATTAATTTGATTTACGAAAATAGTTTGTGGTTGGTTAAATATTTTTTAGTATATTAATTATGAAAATATTTTATTTAAATGCATGATCAAAAGAAATAATTTAATGCAATAAATAAAATATATTCTGATGTGTTTAGGAAATATTATAATTTATAAAATAATAGTTAATATAATATTATAATAAACTATTGAGAAGATAAAGTCGACCAAAATCACCAAAAAAGTTATGCAGATAATCTTGGGAAACTGCTAGAATTTGAAGAAGGGAATCACATGTTTTTGAAAGTTACTCTTAAGTTGGGCCTGCAGGAATTATTTAAGACGAAGAAGTTAAACCCTTAATACATATGACATTTCCAAAATATAAATCGAGTAGGAGTGGTGGCATATCATTTGGCGTTGTCATCATCTTTATCAGAGCTACATGGTATATTCTCTGTATCTCAACTTAGGAAGTTTGTATCTAATATCTTCCAACGCATATTGATGGAGTCGATAGAGCTCGAATCAGATCTCACTTTTAAGCCTCAGCCAATTGGTGGGTCGCTTAAAGGGGATAAAATAACTTGTTCCTATTATACCAGGTGGTCAACATTATTCAACAGGCCGGTTACCACTTTCACACCTAGATTGTCTTGGAACTATTCACTGTTCAAGAGAATCTCGTGTTCAAGCATCAACAATTGTGAAGGAGGTTGCTCCAAATATAAGTTAAAGAATAGTAAGCATTGAAATGTTCTTTGGTCAGATCTTGGAGGAACACTGTTTTCTTCAGTAGGAGCATAATGGGAGGTTACGAGGACTGGAGGAGGCAACAAAGCTTAGTTAGCCTAAGTGATAGCAACACTGGCGTGATGCTGAGCGGATAATTCGAAAATGTTCGATGTTATCATGATTTCAAGAGTTCGTTATCAGAATTGTTTGAGGAAAGATATTGGTGCTTGTAGAGAGAGGTAGATCATTGACATGTGAGAAAGATATAGGTGATATGAGAGAATAACATCGGTGACCTGCGAGAATAAGATCAATGATTTGCATGTTTTGGTGAAGATATTGAGATTTTCGTGGAAAAAATGTGGAAATCAAGAGCCAATTTTCATAGACGGCGCATTATTCTGTTCAAGAACTAGAAATGTGTAGTTAAGTGGTGAAATGAGGTCATGGAGTGATGAAACAAACTTTTGGTATGACAGAGAAGTGGTAGATCTGTAAGGTTAATACTTTAACTCAAGACAGTTATTGAGTGAAAAGTAGTGTGAAATAAATTGAATACATAAAATGACACAATTTAGTTTTTATATAGTATAGACAATTAAACATTCTTCGTTTGATTCAACACTCCGTGTGGATGACCACTCGATCACATTTAACCAATGAGAGATGTGATAGAAGGTGTGATCAAGTGTTCTCGCAAAAGATTAAGACCCACCTGCTCGATGTGCTTTTCCTTTCAACGCGTGTTACTGAGTTATCTTAGTAGGTCTTGTGATCAATTAGAAGCAAAATAGATTTTGATTTTCATGATCTCTTATTGATATTTGTGGAAGTGGCACAATTTAACCTTTTTTGGAGACGTTTCAAAAATCCAATAATCCATTTTTTCCACTTATGAAGTTTGTAAAAGAAATTGAATGCAACACCATCTTACAACAAAGTATTTAAAATATGAACTTGGAAGAGGTTAATGTGTGTTTATGTTAATGAAATGGATAAAACTCAATTGTGGTGGTGCGTTTGAGTAAAGTTTACATATGATTGGATGTGAAGGTCTACTATGTGATGCAACCAGTAGGTGAATGCAGAGTTATTCTTAAAAGTTTGACACTTCCGATGTTTATTCTATAAAGATGTGGCCAATCTTATATGTATAATGGATTGAGAGTTTTTTCCTTCATTTTCACGATCGGTGTTTAATCCACACAGCGAATCAATTAATTCAGTTTCCGACTCGAGATTAGGATGACCTGGTCAAACGTTGTTCTCACTTGAGAATCAGACTCAATATTTTCTGAATATCGTTCTTAACAGGAGTTTCATGAATCTATTAGAATCTAAACAATTGATTTATTAAAAGGATAATATTTAGAATTTAATTGTGAAAAATAATTTATAGACTCTTGTTGATACAATGCTTGATAAAACTATGATTACATATTCAAAGAATTCATAAATTTATAAATAAAGAATGTAGTAGCATCAATGTTTGTTCGAAGATTTCAGAACTTTAATAAAGAATGGAGTATCAAGGGTTATCACACAGTGAAATCAATCATAACATTTAACTAATCATAACTTCAACTTGAACATCACAAAATCTACATCTTTAATATTATCTTTGGATTTTAATATAAATTTTTTCTTATCCATTAATATATTTATATATATAATTAATTATTCAATGAATTTAAAAATAAGTTTGACAAGTAGAATAACAATTTCCTAGAGAATATAAATGAAGATGTTATTTAAAAATTATAATGAAATTTTATTCTTATTTCCCTATTTATTATTTCATCCGTTTCATAATAAACATTTCATTTATATATTTTTTTTATGTCTCAAAATAAATATTTTTTTAGAATATTAATATAATTTATTATTTTTTTCTACTATTATATACATATTTATTAACTTTTATATTTTTCAACAACTTTATTAACTATAATAAACAACGATGTTTTAGTAAATAATATTAATTTTATATTAAAATCACCATATCTAATATTTTTTTTATAAGACAGATGAAGTAGTTTATTTGCTTAATTTTTTTTATTTTAATCTTTGATCTTATATTGTAAAAATAAAATAAAATAAAAAAACACTAGCTTGTGAGCAAAATATCCATTTATATATGGAGAAAACCATATCCAAAACCGATTCAAATTATCCAAAATACATGTTGAAATCCGGTTTGAGTTTCGACAGTGTCACATTTACCATTTTAGCTTCACTCCTCTAGGGTTTCTCAAACGCATTCTCTGTAGATTAAAGACGCATCGGAGAACTAATTCCGTCGCCGGAAACCCCACGACATTATAGGAAACATAAAAATCAGAAGCAAAAAATGTCAAGCCAGAGGAAACACAAACAGAAACACAGCGAAAGCGACGAAGACGACGATGTTTTTTTCTACCGCTACTGCGCTTCATCATCAACCGCCGCCACCACCACCACCACCGCCACCATATCCAGTAATCAACCTCAATCAAAACCGAACAACAAAGGATCGTCAATAGGAGCAACAGGAGAACCCTTAGCACCATCAAAATCAACGCTATATGTTTCAAATCTAGATTACTCCCTGACAAACTCCGATCTCCACACTCTCTTCTCTACTTTCGGCCGAATCGCGCGTGTGACCGTTCTCAAAGACCGTCACACGCGCCTCAGCCGCGGAGTCGCGTTTGTGCAATTCGTTTCTCGTCATGACGCTCAACGCGCCGTGACGGAGATGAATAAGAAGATTCTTAATGGACGGACTTTGACTGCTTCTATTGCAGCTGATAATGGACGTGCTCCCGAATTTATTCGGAAGCGCGTGTACAACACTGAGACCGAGACTGCTTTGTGTTATGAGTGTGGGGGGCATGGTCATCTGTCGTATGAGTGTCCTAAGAATCAGTTGGGGCCGAGGCCGCGGCCTCAGCCTAAGAAGCCGCGGAGGGGATTCGGTGGGACAAGGGATAAGGATAGGGAGGAAGAGGGTGATGAGGAGGAGGAAGAGGGTGGTCAGATTGCCGCGGAGCAGTTTGAGGATAATTGGGCTTCTGTTGTGGATGATGAAGCGGGGGAGAGGTTGCTTGGGAGAAATGGAAATGATGGTGAGGGTTTTGACAACAAGAAGACGAAGAAGAAAGGGAAGAGAGCTGGATATTTTAGTGATGAGAGTGATCATGATGATGATTGATCACGACCAAGGTTTTAAAAACGGTCTCGTTGCAGTCGCAGAAAGCCTTACGCGGTTTGAACAAATGTGAATTAACCACAATATGTTTTTATTTTATGATAAAAACAGTGAATAACAGTATCAGTATCACCGTCTTTCAATACCGTTTTGTCGCGGCCATTTTTGCCGTAACAGATCGTTTTTTAAAACCTTGATCATGACTATGCAGCATTGACACTTCATATTGATGGTGTGTTTGGTATTCAACATTATCGCATTGTTCAACCAAAGTGTCAATGTTCCGTGTGTCTCATGTCTATATATGTGCCGGTGTTTCAGAGATATAAATGACAATTTTTTGTTTTTATCAAGATATGGTGTAATTGATGAAGTTGTTTATATGCTGCTGGCTTGGTTGAATGTGCTTATGGTTTTGATCATAAGCACATGTTAGTTATTAGTTATTGTGGTAGAAATTTGTGATAGTGGCGGTGAATTGGTGATGAGCATTTTTGTGTATTCCATATTTTGATAGTGAATGAATGACGACAGACGAGTCTCTTATTTGTCTGCTGAATTTAGCATCTGGTTTACCAATAAAACAGAAAGGAAAAGCCTGTTTGTGTTATGCTTTTTATTTTGGTTCAGCTAAAACATGTAAACGAAATGTAACACCCTGTTTACCTTATGCACATCTTGTTGTTACATAAATAAGGTTATGAATGCATAGATGTCACTTTTCTAGGTTTTTTTTTTTTTAATTATAAGTTGATAGAATTTTTTAATTTATCTATTTAATTCATGTGTATTACTCTGATTAATGATGATTGATATTTTTGTGTGGTTTGTTGTTAAGTTAACTGAATGCAAAGATGTTGTTTTTGTAGCCCGTTGTTTGTTGAGGAACAATATGAAACCGGTTTGTCCTTTTGTTAAAATTCCTCGGCCCGATGATAGTAATAAAAAACCGAGTGAAAACTCAACTAAACATCATATAGAACATGAAAGTAAGGTGAAAAATGACACGGCTAGTGTCTCGCCGAAGTGTCCTATGGGATATGACTCTCAAACATTTAAGCTTGGTCCTCTTAGCTGTATGGTATGTCAAGCGCTGTTGTTCGACACCAGCAAATGTGTGCCTTGTTCGCATATTTTCTGCAAGTATGTATCACGGCCCGTGTTTATTTCTTATCATTGCATACATTGTTTTTGGATGGTTTCTGATTTGATGTGTGTATGGTGTTAGAGAATGTATATTGCGTTTTGAGGACTGTCCGTTATGTGGAGCTGATATTGTGATGATTGAGCCCGATGACAATCTTCAAGGTGTAGTCGATCGCTTTATTGAAGGTCATGCTAGGATCAAAAGGTCTGTTAGTTTAGACAAAGGTGAAGAAGCAGCAGAAAATAATAAGCCTGTCATATACGAAGATGTGTCTTTGGAAAGAGGTTCTTTCTTAGTGCAACAGGCCATGAGGGTAAGTATGTCCTTTTCAAATGTAAATGTGGATGAAGTCTTGTATATGAAGGATTAAATTGAGAAAGAATGAATGATCCTTGATTTTTTTTGTCATAATTAATAACTATTATCATCCACAATGTAAATGGTCACAAGTCTTAATTAAGTGACTATGCTATAAGAGCTTATCATTTAAGTGCTTGTTTAAAAACGATTTCTATAACAAAAGATAAAATGAAGTCAAAATGTTTTTATGTAAGCTATAAAATGTTTATCTGGGTATGGCATTGTTGATGGGAACGTTAGCTCTGCCAAAGCTCATGCTTTTTGTTTTACTTTGTTTATGTTATACTTTTTCTGGCCACTTGATAATGAGCATTTTACCATATGAAATTCAAAAACAGGCATTCCGTGCTCAGAATTTAGAAAGTGCCAAATCAAGACTCAGCCTATGTGCAGAAGACGTTAGTAGTCAGATTGAAAAAGTTGGTAACACTTCAGAGTTATGTTCACAACTTGGAGCAGTCTTGGGTATGCTTGGTGACTGCTGGTATGTAATAGGATATTTTCATTGTGTTTTATGATAAGATATTGTGTTTAGTGAAATATGGAAAACATTTCTATTAAGAGGAATTTATCTGTCAAGACGACAAAATAGTCTAAAATACAAAGGTGTGGTCAAAATACTAGTATAAATAGTAACCGGTGTTGTAACATAGCGGCTACAATGCTATAGCATAGCAAAACTTGAACAAATCGCTATTATCCCGTGATAAGCTATTTACGTAACGGAATTCAGCAGACCACTATTTTCTGTGATCCATGGTTGACAACACTGATAGTAACACTGAATACAACTAGACCGAGACCAAGAATGATAAAATCAAATAGGGATGCTTAGAATCAGTGGAAATCATTAAATTAGTGTGCTGAATCCGAATCATCTTTGGTAGTGAGGACATTTTGAGTTTTGGTTATTTATGTCTGTACCAGAAATTGTTTCCATTGTATCCTCTATCTATTATCTATAATGTAGTATAAAGTGTTCAATTTCCTTGACTGCTTTAGCTGTTTTTGATGTACGGTAATAACCACTTCGGTTGGAAGAAGCTCCTAGTTTTTGCTAGTTTTCCCTGTTGTCTCCCACTTTAAAACAGGTCCTAAACCCATTATCAATTGCATATAGTTGCATCCTCTGAAGCAGAAACACTGACAGACATTGGTAATAATTTGAGAAAATGGAAATGATTGTATGTAATCACACATATTAGTATCGTGTCGGTGCTGAACACTGACATACACACCTTTAATATGAAGTTTCAATGCCGCGTGTTTGTGCTCTTAAATCTGTTATATAGTGCGCCTTTTGGTCTCTTTGTGGTGCAGTTTATCGTTATTTTAGAGTGGTTTTGATGGTGAACATTTTAAGAGATTATTTATCTCTTTTGCTTTCTTTCTTATTCTCCGCTTTTTTCCTTTTTTCATTCATATGGCACATTTCTTTTTGTATCACAAAGTGTAAAAGAATATAGTTTAATTACATGTTTAATGGAGGAGGTGGATTGTGATCTTCATTTTTACAAAATAATTTCTGCAGCTCTGGGTGATAGCAGTTCTGCAGTAACTTATTTTGAAGAAAGTGTTGAATTTCTGTCAAAGTTGCCAAAAGATGATTTGGAGGTTATCTCATTAGAATCTTGCTTTTCTTGGCTCCCGTGAATAATAATAAATTACCAGAACAATCTGCTCTTGTTTATTGTCAATTTATTTCTTTGACCTTGTTATCTTACAGATTACTCATACACTTTCCGTTTCACTTAATAAAATTGGTGATCTTAAATATCACGGGGGAGACCTTCAAGCTGCAAGATCATACTATTTTCAATCCTTAAATGTTCGCCGTGATGTTGTCAGGAACAATTCAAATGTTTCATCTCAGGTTGGTAAATACGTTCCACCTATATTAGAGTGATAAAGACGGACAGACTAGCACGTTAGTGCCTGTTCGCACAATAGTGAAAAATAAAATGGAAACAGAACCTTTACACTCATCAATTGCACCCCTAGTTTCTTCATTACATGAGTTCTTGATACTTGTAGATAATTTTCAGTTTGATATTTTTTTCCTGTTTTGAAACAACACAACCATGTAAAAAGTTAGTATAAATCATCTTGTCCATTAACTAGTTAGGTTAAATTAATCCTTAATCACCCATACAAATTGCCACATTAGAACTTGTCTCGTGGCCAGCAGGCATGCATGACTGATTTTCAAATTATCCTTTTATATTGTTTATGTCAATTTAGGTCTTAGATGTTGCTGTTTCTCTCGCCAAAGTAGCGGATGTTGACAAAAGTCTAGGAGATGAAAAGTCAGCTAGTGACGGATTTCAAGAAGCTATAAATTTGCTGGAATCACTTTAAAATCTGAAGCTAGTGGACTTGAACAACGGGTAAGTTGTTACTATATGTATCCAAATAGAGAAGTACTACATTATTGTATTCTTCCTCTGTTTCCTCATCCATAACACACATACATTTGTGTGTATATTATTGTATTCTTACTTTAAATAATTTTGCAGATCTATTTTATTAAATAATTCATTGTTTAAATAATGGCAAGATTTACTCATGGAGTAACTTAATTTGATGAGGACCTAAAATGAGCTAATTAGGAGAAAAACAAGTAAATTTTCAAGTCAAGACTTTAGATTAATTTTTTAGTTTGGGTTATGTTTAATTTGAATTGTAATAATTGTATTTTTATTTACAGTGGTGTAAGCCTAATGCGGGCCTAGAGAGTCGGCCTTATGGCCCATTTTAGGAATAGGGCGAGTCTTTCTTTAAATGCCATCTTAAGACTCTAATTTGCTAAGTTTGGAATGAATTGAATTTTCTCTCCTGAGAAATGTGAGTGTGAATATCTCCTCTTTTGTTCTTGGATTACAATCCTAATTGAATCATATTAATGGCTTCCTTATCATTGTGACGATTCTTCTTGACTTATCAATCATCTTGATTATGGCGCCTTCTACCGTTTTCTTCCGCAAATTCAATTTCCCCTTTTATTTGCTACTCTTTGATTCAAGAGCACTTTGTGCGAGCTTTTGTTATATATGGAAGCATATTCATCAACATCATAATTGCTCTTTACACGCACTCACACACACAAATATGACAGTTTAATCGAAGTCCTAATTGGAGTAAACTATGCCTATAAGATTTCATAGAAATTAAAACTTGACAGTAGCATATAGCGTGTAATTCAAATGCAAACATGATCATCAAGTTGATATAACTTGATTCAATGTAGATTGCCAAATTTGCATTACCCGTAAGTTATTATGTAAAGTGTCTAATATTTAAGCCTAGTGTGGAGTATTATCATTATTTAGTATCTACTGCTTTTAATGACTTCTTACAACTGCCAAATTTAATATATTTTAGATTAGAAATGATATTAATGAACTTTAGTTTAAGTACACCTTTCTAGTGATATTAACAGCCGTTTTTATTCTATAATAATATTCAACTCTTTACACAGTAACCTCTTGTTAAATATACAAATTTCGACATATGATCTTGAAATTAACTTGTGTTCCTGTTCTTATAGCGGCTATCAGTTCTAGACTTCCTTAGAAGCCAACTGACAGAAGATGATAAACAAGAACAAGTTGAAAAAACAGTTTGAAGTCAAGTAGATGCTTAACGAGCAAAAAGGAAGCATCAATTCAGATGCAATAAACGTTATCTCTGTCATTTTGGGCTCTGCAGTACTTGTCTTTGAGATTCTACAACAGTTCCCTCTGTGTTTCTTATACTACACCACTGGAGTTTTTGTATCCCACGTCTTTAGTTGAAGTTTTGATCCTCTCCCGTTACCGGAAGTTTCTTTCTGATGACCAGAGAGGATCGCAACTTCTGTAGTACCTTTGTGCATAAATGCAACTGTGATGGGTCTTCCTTGCATTTATGTAGCTGATATATATACTTATCTAATAAACTAGAAATGAAGAAACATGTAAGGTTGTGTTTCGAACTCGAATACGTTCTATAATGTGAAGAGTGAAATTTATAGAATATTATAAATGTCTGTGTTTGGGTGAGTTTTGATAAACATGATTTTGAGTAGAATTCATTTTGTAAAATCAATTTGGTTACTATTAAGTTTAAAGTGAAGTGATTTTTATTTAGATTTTATTTTAATATTTTGAAAGCAAGTTTAATGAAAAAACTGATGCAACTTTTTAATCCAATGTAAAAGTTACTTTTATGAATTCTAGTCAAACTGAGGTTTGAAGACAATTGATTTTGCCTGAAGCTTAAATCCATGTATTGTCATTAAAGTAAGTGTGTATGATCTTTAGCTGATGTATGTATGTTTCTAGGTATGCTTAGTTACAGTTATTCAGGTGTTTACTAAGGGTATGAAATGGTTTCTTGTTAAATACACTTCATAATACTTGAAAACAAAATAATGTCAACATTCTCATATTAAATAAACAAATAAATATTCTTTTGTACTTTGGAATTTGGTTAGAGCATTTTTATTGAAGTGAATAAAAAGGAACTGAAAGTGCATAAACTAAATTATTTTTTATGGGGTCAAATTGTCACCTATAATTTATGGAATTTACAGTTGATCTAATTTTTTTATACTCTAGTTATGACTGTTTATAAATAATTCAACCTTAAATTCACATATTTATATATTTTTATTTGTTATCAGTTTTATTTCAAATTTAATTATTTTAATTAAAAACATAAAAATATTAGTTATGCTCAATAGTTAATTTAATAAATATTATACAAAATAAAAAATGAATAAAGACTTACGGTTAATTGAGTTTGCTACGGACATGCCTTTTCGAAGATGGAGGGAGTTGGAACCAACACTTATGAGTTTGCATATAACAACACTCACCATTTTATTTTAGTATTAGGATGTCACCATACAAAGGTTTTATACGGTAGGAAGTGCATGACACCTCTATGTTTAGCAGAAGTGGTTCATTAAACTATTGAGAAGATAAAGTCAACCAAAATCACCAGAAAAGTTATGTAGATAATTTTAAGAAATTGCTAGAATTTGAAGAAGGGAATCACATATTTTTGAAAGTTACTCTTAAGTTGTCTGCATGGATTATTTAAGACGAAGAAGTTAAACCCTCAATACATATGACATTTCCAAAATATAAATCGAGTAGGAGTGATGGCGTATCATTTGGCGTTGTCATCGTATGTATTAGAACTACATGATATATTCTCTGTATCTCAACTTAGGAAGTTTGTGTCTAATATCTTCTAACACATATTGATGGAGTCGATAGAGCTCGAATCAGATCTCACTTTTAAGCCTCAGCCAAGTGGTGGGTTGCTTAAAGGGGATAAAATAACTTGTTCCTATTATACCAGGTGGTCAACATTATTCAACAGGCCGGTTGTCACTTTCACACCTAGATTGTCTTGGAACTATTCATTATTCAAGAGAATCTTGTGTTCAAGCATAAACAATTGTGAAAGAGGTTGCTCCAAATATAAGTTGAAGAATAGTAAGTATTGAAATGTTCTTTGGTTAGATCTTGGAGGAACAATGTTTTCTTCAGTAGGAGCATAATGGGAGGTTGCGGGGATTAGAGGAGGCAACAAAGCTTAGTTAGCCCCAGTGGTTGCAGCACTGGTGTGACGCTGAGCGACAAATTTTGAAATGTTCGATGTTACTATGATTTCAAGAGTTCGTTATCAGATTTGTTCGAGGAAAGAGATTGGTGCTTGTAGAGAGAGGTAGATCATTGACATGCGAGAAAGATATAGATGATATGAGAGAAGAACATCGGTGATTTGCGAGAATAAGATCAATAATTTGCATGTTTTGGTGAAGATATTGAGGTTTTTGTGAAAAAATGGTGGTTCTTTTAGTACAAGCTACTGGTCATACCTTTTGTTTGGGCACATGAATCCTGCACGCACCTTTCGTTTGGGCATGTGGTTCCTTCAGTACAAGCTACTTGTCACACCTTTCGTTTGGGCACATGAATCCTTCAGCACAAGGTTTTGGTCAAACCTTTATGTCGTACCCCAAAATTTTCCCTCTCATTTCTCAAAAGATCATCATGGACCCTCAGGTTTGCTTCTATCAAGTCCCAAGTCTTGAATTATAACTTTTCAAGAAAATCATTCACCAAGACAAAATGGTCAAAAGCACACTGAAAAGTCAAAATAGACAAAATCAGAAGTCAGAAATTACTTTGAAAAAAAATCAAATTTCTAAATATTTAGAAAATTTTCTAAGTGTTAAGAGATTATAATACTTCAGAACTTCTGAGCCAGCAAGTGCAGTCAGAAGTTGAAAACATGGTTCAGAACATAGTTCTTCAATCAGAACATGACTCTTCAGCATATGCTTCGATCAGAGCATCACCCTTCGAGTTTCATTATGGTCTTCTTTGATCAGAACATTACAAAGCCCAAAAACCTTGTTTGAATAGCCTGCTGCACTGCTATAGCACAGTCCTACAACTAGCTGCCACAATACTCCAAATTGCTGCTGATCTAGTCCACGCCTGCATTTTTCTCAAACCCTATATTTGCACTAAATTAGCATACAAAAGTTGTGATTAAAAAGCAATGGAATAGTATACCAAAAGGTTTGAATCCCATTTGTTTCCCCTCCAAAACTACAGCAAACCCATCTATAAATAATTTTCTCCATCACACGTTTATGGGGGCTGGTTTTTGGAGAGAGAGAATTGTCAAAAAGAGAGAAAAGAAAACTGTGAAACCTTCGTAAAAATCCAAAATTCCCAAACAAAAAAACCAAAATCTTTGTTCTTCCCTTTGAGTCAAAGAACTTGGCATTTTCTCTTTCGTTACTCTTGCTGACTCCAGAACATCTGAAGGAAGCAATTCAAGTTCCAAGCACACACTTTAAGGTTCAAGGTAAGTCTTTCTGACTTTGCATCTTTTCATTCAGAACATCATTAAAAATGTAAATATCATAGTATTGATGTTATCCATATCATTGCATAAGTAGAAAAAATCGTGGATCAGAACCTCTTGATTAAGGCTAGGCTCAGGATTAGAATTAGAACTTCTATAAACTATTGTGCTTTTGATTTGCTGTTAAGGACTGAATGAATCACTGATGTGCTTATTAATATGAGGAAAAATTTGAAATGTGGCACAGAACCTCTGATTTTCACTCACTATTTTAGCACATCATAGAATTTCTGAGTTCTCCTTACTGTTAAACACATTGAACTTCGGATGTTTCCACTCGCTTTTTTAACACTTAGAATTTATGACTTTCACACGCTAATAACACACTGAACTTCTGATGTTCACTCACTGTTTTAACACACTGAACTTCTGATGTTCACTCACTGTTTTAACACACTGAACTTCTGATGTTCACTCACTGTTTTAACGCACATAACTTCTGACTTTTGGCTCACTGTCTGAATACCACCCAGAACCTCTATTTCCTTTCCCTCTAACGTTTCTTACATGACTTTAGAGTGTACTAATTCAGAACTTCTGATTTTCACTGACGTTTCTTTCTGAGTCACAGCACGTCTGGCATCAGAACTTCTGATCGCCTTTGTTTTGTTTTCAGCAGCATATTAACCATATCTCATTTATTTTCCCTTTTATCATTTTCAATATTAATACTCTTTTAGACATAAAAATATTTTCTTTTACTAACTAATTTATTTCTTTTTTCTTAACTCATTAAGACAAAAAAAACTATTTTCTAAACAAAGTCCCTTTTCTTTCTTGCATTATACATTTCAATATGGTTGTAATAGTTAGATAGGATTTAAATTCTTGCAACCCCCCATTTGTAAATATGTATCCCCATACCTAAAATATTGTAATAGTGTAGGACTTTTATATTTCTGCAATTTATCGCTTTTCAAATATAAATGCTAGTAATTAGGATATGTATGGTAAGATATCACTACGCCAAAAGTGAGTTTTAACAGCGCACATTAGACAGCGCTTTTGTACAAAAGCGCTGCTATAAGTGAATTATAAAAAAAACACGGAAATTGTATAAAATAATTAGTAAAAGCGTTGCTAAACATATGACCTTAGACAACGCTTTTAAAAAGCACTGCTAAAGGATTGCTTTAGAAAGCGCTTTATCATAAGCGCTGGTAAAGGGCCACTTTAGACAACGCTTTAAGAAAGCGCCGTCTAAAGTCATAAAAAATTAAAAAAAATAATAGAAAAGCGCTGCTAAAGGTCACTATTAGCCAGCGCTTTTCAAAAGCGCTGTCTAAGGTCCATATTAGCCAGCGCTTTTAGAAAGTGCTGTCTAAACCCTTATAAGTCAGAATTAAAAAAAAAAAAGAACCTTTGTATTCACAATATCACGAAAACAAAAACCCTTTCCCTCGCGAAACCCATTTTCTTCTCCGTCTCAAATCGTCTTCCACCGTTTGCCGTCATACCGTCCTCCACCGTCTCGCTCCGTTTTCCTCCATACACACCGATCGGTTCTCAAGGTATGTTCTTTATTGAAAATGTGTTTAACTCCATTGATATCCAAACTGAGTTATCATCCTTGAAAATGTGTTAATATCCATTGATGTCCAAACGTGTTTATCTCCTGTTGATGTCTAAACTAGGTTATATGTATGCATTTTAATTTTTGGATTCTTGGTAGGGCTTGATATATAACAACAATATTTTTAGCATTTAGCATTTTTAGCATTTTTTGGATTCTTGATTCTATGTTTTGGAATATAAAAGATGATATATATGATGGTTTTTTTTTTGTTATTTTAATTGGTTTATGAATTGTTTATCATGTTTATATTTTCCATAAACTAGTATTTTGTTACTAGTATTTTGAACCTAAATATATATACAACTTGTTTTTGATGATCCTTTTGTATTGGTGTAGTTAGGTGAAGACCATCACCGATTCGAAGAATATCAAAGCCTCATCATCCGCCATCGACACCAATAACCCCTTTTCTTTATTTTGCCGATCGATTGTCACAAGAGTACGAGAATAGGGTATTGGAATTCGTTAAGTTTGCTGTTGAACACGCCAAAGACCCTAGTCGAATGAAGTGTCCTTGCTTGGGTTGT